CGGGGAACAAATTGCTCAACTGCTCCTCCTCCCTATGGCTCCACATGAGGCTCAAAATATCAGAGAGAAAGGGGGAACCAAGGCTTTGGAAGCTCCGGCCAAGCAGACCACCCCCAACTTACATTAAGAATAGAGGATAAGCCCTTTAAGAGAGTTTTGGACACCGGAGTGGATGTTTCCGTTCTCCTGGAGGAGTCCTGGCCCTCTACCTGGCCTAAGCAAGAGGGGACCACCACCCTCCAGGGAATCGGGCAGGCTATCCCACAAAAGAGCCTCAGAATTCTAAAATGGCAAGACTCTGAGGGTCATACAGGATATTTTCAGCCCTATGTTTTGGCTGGCCTCCCCACTAATCTTTGGGGACGGGATCTTTTAAAAGAAATGGGAGTTGTCCTCATCACCCAAGGCTCCAAGCCCAAAAACAAGGCCCTCCAAGTAATGCAGAGAACGGGCTGGAACCAGGGAAAAGGATTAGGTAAATTAGAACAAGGAGAGGTTTGCTCTGTGGCTTCCCTCCCCTTAGATACTTGGGCCCTTCGCTTTCAATGGGTGGTGCTCCCCCCAAGGAATATCTAACAGACCTACAAATTGCCAGGCTTATGTGGCTGCCTGCCTGGATCCTATCTGGCGCAAGTTTTCTGATCTTTACATTTTCCATTATATGGATGATATTCTATTGGCAGTGCCTGCTGAGGAGAGGTGTCTTAAGGCATTTGCTAAATTACAGGAGCTCCTGGAGGCCCATGGGTTTATTTTGGCCCCAGAAAAGTTTCAAAAGAAACTTCCTTACACCTATCTAGGCCATCAGATCCAACAGACCGGCCTCTGGCCTCAAAGGCTCAAAATTGATTGTTCAAATTTGAAGACTCTCCATGGGTGGCAAAGGTTTTTGGGTGATGTTCAATGGATCCGCCCCTCTCTTTCCATTAAAACAGGAGAGCTTAGACCCCTTTATGATATTCTTCCTGGGGACTCAGCTCCAACCTCTCCCAGACAAATTACCGTGAAGGCCAAGGAAGCCATACAATTGCTATTGAGGAGCATTGGAAAAGCCCATCTTTGGCGCCTGATTATGGACAAGCCCTTACTGTGGTTGTACTTTCCTCCAGTTTTTCACCCACCGCTGTTTTTTGGCAAAATGGCCCTATATATTGGATCCACTTGTCAGCCTCCCCTAAGAAGGTTGTGTCCCGTATTATGATTTGATATTACAATTGTTATAGAAAGCACATAAATTTAGCGTCCAAACCTTTGGAAAGCCTCCTGATAAGATCATTCTCCCCTATGACAAGAAAGAGGTTGAGTATTTATTTACAGACCTCTCATGATGGATGGACACTCTTTATCACATCTACGGGAGCCAAATTTGATAACCACTCCCCAAATAGCCCCTTGCTGTCCTTTTTTAGGCAGCACCCTGTAATCTTTCCTAAGATTATAAAGGAGGCCCCCCTTCAAGGGGTGCGCTCAGTATTTACAGATGGCTCCTCCAAGGGTTTTGCAGTGGTGGTTTCTTCCCAAGTACAAAGGAAATTATCTATGGGACAAGCTGCCGAATTGATTGCTTGCCTAATGGGCTTCCAGTTGTTTGATAAAGAACCTTTTAATTTATATACTGATAGCACTTATGTTGCTAATATTGCAAAGCCTTTAGAGACTTCTCCATATGTTCTTTCCATCTCTCAAGTTCATTCTCTTCTAGTTAAGCTCCAACATCTCATTTGGCAGCACATACACCCTGTATTTGTGGGGTACATACATGCGCATACAGGCCTCCCAGGACCCCTTGCCCAGGGCAATCAGCTTGCTGATTCCTTAACTCGACCCCCAATAGTCATGTTTACAGAGGAACAACACGCTCGCCAGCTTTCATGAGTGGTGCCACCTAAATGCACGCTCCCTTAAGTTTCATACCAGCTGTTCCTCACCTGTTGCCACTCAGATTACTTCTCAATGCCCTGATTGTGCCCCTTATCATAATTTCCCCCAACGAGGGGGTGAATCCCTGGGGCCTAAGGGCTAACAATCTTTGGCAAATGGATGTCACCCACCTGCCTCAAGCAGGAAAATTAAAATATATGCATGTTTCTGTGGATACATATTCTAAGGTGGTTTTTGCATCTCTACATTCTGGAGAAAGGATTAAAGATGTCATCTCTCATTGTTTACAGGCCTTTGCCTATATAGGTGTTCCTGATATCTTAAAAACAGATAATGGCCCCGAATATACTAGTCATCGTTTCTCAGCCTTCTGCAAGGAACATCATATTGATCATTCATTTGGCATCGCACATAACCCTACAGGACAAGCCATCGTGGAACACACTCATGCCACCCTTAAACAATATTTTTATAAAATAAAAACGGGGAAATAGGGGCTGGAGAGATGGCTCAGAGGTTAAGAGCACCGACTGCTCTTCCAGAGGTCCTGAGTTCAATTCCCAGCAACCACATGGTGGCTCAAAACCATCCATTATGAGATCTGGTGCCCTCTTCTGATATGCAGATATGTATGGAAGCAGAATGTTATAAATAAATAAAATCTTTAAAATAAATAAAATCTTTAAAAAAAGGGGGGGGAATATATGACCTCCCCCAATTCTCAATTATCTACCATACTTTACATTTTAAATTTTTTGACTATAGATAAAAATAATTTGTCTGCAATGGAGAGACATTGGAACAAACCCTCTCAATCACTGGGATGGGTTGGATGGAAAGACCTGATTACAGAAAAATGGCAGCCACCCACTCCCCTGTTAGCTAGGGTTCGAGGAGTTGTTTGTTTTTTTCCTCCAGGACGTGAAAAGCCCAGCTGGGTCCCTGAACGGTGTGTCCGTCTTGTGGACCTTGACGCTGCTCCTCACGCTGGCCCTGATCAAGACAACCCAAACATCACCGAGTGGACCAGCAAGGGAAGTATGGGCCCTTGTAAGGAATCCACCCATTCTGATGCTGGTCAGCCAGAGTAGCTCCCTGTTCACTGCCTTTTTCAGCACCAATAACACATTGGGGATGGCAGCATCCAACATACAGTTGGAACAGAGACCACTATCTAATTTGACCCTTTTGCTAAAAGGTAGCATATGCTTTAGGAGTATCCAGAATAGTAGTGACTTGCCATCGAGCACCTCCTTTAAAGGTCACTGTGTGGTGTTGAGTAATTCCTCCATTGCTGATTCCCCCACCCCATAGTAGCAATAGTAAAATGCTGGGATTAAGAAATATCCTATATCCCATTAATCAACAGAGAAATAATTCAACACAAAGCCCCCCTAAGCCAGCCCCTTGTGCTGGCAGGGAGGGAGGGATTATTCACTTTCTTCCCCCTTGCTTTGGGGAGAATGCATTACTCAAGAGCCCTGGATATTGAAAGGAGAAGATTCTCTCTGGTGGTTCAGACACCAACCACCATTTAAGAATGCTTCCGACCGCGGAGAAGAACGGGAGTGACCCCCACCTTCTCTGGGACGTTTTTATGTGGGCCTCGGGCCTGCACCGATGCCCGCCCCCTTATGTTGTAGCAAGGCCTTGCCTTTAATGCAACAGCCAGCTGGAATGCCTCCCAAGCATTCGAGACGTCAATAAAGGTTAATTTTAGTAAGGCTTGTATGCTATCTCCCTTTTTCTTTGTTACATGGAATGGGACTGAAGATGGGGGGAGGGGCAGAATCTCTCAATTGTTCTCCCAGCTCCTGTGTCCTGAGTAACTGCTGGCCTCCTGAGAATGCCAATGCCCTGATCGTCCGAATCCCTTCCTAGCTCCCAGGGTAGTGGAAGACCACCATACCCGGGAAGAAATCATCTTGTATTGGACCAGAAGAGATTTCGAGATCACCACTGCTGTTGTTGCCGCTATTGCCATCTCAGCGACCACAGCCGCCCAGCCCCATTGTGGCTGTTGCCATTGCTCAGTCCGCTTCCAATGCAGAGACTGTTAATAACCTTGCTGGCAGAGTCAGCGAGGCCCTGGCCATGCAGAATACCCTAAATTCCCATATTCAGTTTGGTTTACTTAATTTAAACCAGCAGACTGCTCTTTTGCAAGAACAAATTGATGCTTTATGGACAGTACAACAAGCCTCTTGCTCATACTTTTATCATTCTGCCTGTGTTACTTTGCTTCCTGTAAAAAATGTTTCTATGGGAGTGTCCAGATTGAATGCATATTTGGCTGGACCCGGGAATGATTCTTTTGTAAGTTTTACCAATGTTTTGGCTCATCAGGTTGTAGAAATTAATAAGATGAGGGTTATTCCACTCTCAGGCGAGGGGTGGTGGAATGCCATGACCCAGGTAGGGGGTTGGGTGCAGCGATGGGGAGGCGCTGTGTCCTTTGCCATTATGGGAGTACTTCTGGCCGGTCTAGGGTTATTTGCACTATGCAAGGTCTGGCGGACCTTCCAACAAATGAACAGATAACATAGACAAGTCCTACTTAGCCTCACCCATGGTTCTCCCGGTAGCCATGGTTTGGCTACAGATGCTCAACAGGAGATGAAGGGGTCCCCATGACGGGCAACCCATGGGACACCGCCCCACCTAAGACAGGAGATCAGGGCTCTCCAATGATGAGTAAGGGGCATGTGACCTAAGACAGGGACCCTTCATATAAAACAAAAAAGGGGTAATTGTGGGAACAAAGTGGCCCTGGCAGAAACCCAACAACCCCCAATGCCATTGCAAAACATGTTTACTGGAGCAGAATGTTATTTCCCTCTGAGAACACCATGACCATGCCCTGAACCCAGGCTTGAGACTAACGGCCTCTTCCTGAGCTCCCCCTCCCTCTTCTGGTTTAAAACCAGCCCAGAAAAAATAAAAATAGTGGGAGCAGGAGAAGATGGCGGTCTCCATCTGGGTCATAGAAATGGAAGAGGTTGAGGAGTGGATGTTTTTCATACGGATTAAGTCTTGTCATAGATAGTAAAATCTTCAGCAGTTTTACCTCGGGGAAATACATCAGTGTTCTTCCGGTCAGAGCTAACTACGACCAAGAGTTAAAGTTCCTCCGAATTTTCGCTTGTTGGAAGAACTTGAAGAAGGACAGAAAGGAGTAGGTGATGGTACGGTTAGCTGGGGCCTTGAAGATGGTGAAGACATGACACTTACAAGGTGGACAGGCATGATTATTGGGCCACCAAGGACAAACTATGAAAACAGAATATATAGCCTGAAAGTAGAATGTGGATCTAAATACCCAGAAGCTCCTCCATCAGTTAGATTTGTAACAAAAATTAATATGAATGGAATCAATAATTCCAGTGGAATGGTGGATGCAGGAAGCATACCAGTGTAAGCAAAATGGCAAAATTTCTATAGCATTAACGTTGTACTTCAAGAGCTAAGATGTTTAATGATGTCCAAAGAAAATAGGAAGCTTCCACAACCACCAGAAGGACAGACATACAACAACTGATTTTAGTGGATCTCAAACTTGTCTTAAATCAACAACCTTCTACTCATGTTAATGTCTTGATTAAATATCACCATGCAAAATACCCACACATTAAGTAAAAGAATTTTAGCTGGTAAACATGATCCGGAGAGTTGTAAGAATATATTTAATATATGTACACCTATTATGTTTTCAGGTAACAGAAGTGCAGCACAATTTTTCTTTCTCTTCTTAAAGCACTGTCATTTAAACATGAACCTGAAATATTCAAAATTGAATTCTGGTTTTCAAGACAAAAGCATGGAAAAGGAGTGTCAGATGGCAGTGGAAACCTTTGTCTTTCTGAAAAGTAAAGTCTCAAGAAGGAAGAACAGAAATGGCATGCCCTATCCATCATCCTTAGACTGCAGTGAGCTGTTTAAAGTAGTAGGTATAATGAGTAGTCACAATTGTGTTAACTCTTGAAGTGGTGTGGATGTGGGTGCTGACTACTATAGCATCAAAAATTGCTTCAGGATTGTTTTGATACCTGTATTTATAATAAAAAGATGTTGGGTATTGATGACTCTCTGTTAAAAGCTGTTCCTGTTTGTTACATGTAACAGACATGATAAATAACTGTTTACAGTCTTTGTTTAATAAAACATACTTAGAAGTTTTAAGTGAAGTCAACAAAAAGGAAATAGGTGAATGGATATGTGATTCTGAGATTAAAGTTAGTCTTGAAATGTAAATAAAATATGGAATGTGTCCTCAAAAAAATAAAAAAATAAAAATAAAAATAATGAGCCTTCTTACCACCAAGCCAGCTCTCTGTGTTGTTAATCCCGACACCTTCTGCAGATTCTCGTCCCAGGCCATGCGGGCATGGCATATCATTACATGGCTGTGGCTTACAGGTAATGTTCCAGCATCTTCCTCCTTCAGTGGCTACATGCATCTCCCTGACTCTGCCTTCTTTCTCTTGGTATCTGTTTGGATTTCCTGCCTAGCTATATTCTTTCTTGCCATAAGCCAAAACAGCTTTTTTCGTTGACCAAAAAAAGCAACACAATTTCAAAGCACACAGAAGGACATCCCACATCAGGTAGAGGGAAAAGTACAGCTACACTCAGAAGAGGAGTGAGGCTGGGACAGGGAAAGCCCTTTTCTGAAAACTAGCGTGACTTTGACCTTCCAGGCCCCAAGGACCATCTTCTCCCTGACTGAGCACTATGCCAGGAAGCATCCTATGTTGCTGTGTTCTCTTCCTAAAAAAGTCAGCACCATGTGCAACACGCCAGGCCATAGTACAACATGCCTTTAATCCCAGCATTCCAGAAGCAGGCAGGTGGATCTCTGTGAGCTGGAGGCCAGCCTGGTCTACATAGTAAGTCCCAGGATAGCAAGTGCTACATAGAGAGCCCTGTCTCAAAAACACAACAACAAAAAACCAAACATAAAAAGTCTGCTCCTAGCCGGGCAGTAGTGGTGCCTGGCTTTAATCCCAGCATTTGGGAGGCAGAGGCAAGTGGATGTCTGAATTTGAGGCCAGCCTAGTTGACAAAGTGAGTTCCAGGACAGCCAGGGCTATACACAGAAACCCCGTCTCAAAAAACAAAACCAAAAATCTGTTCCTCACTAAACAGATGGTGGCTCATGCCTGTAATCTCAGGGCTGGGGGGGGGTCATGGTAAACTGGGGTCAGCCTGGGCTACAGAGTAAGACCTTGTCTCAAAACAAATAAATAGAGCTGGCAAGATGGCCCAGAAGGCAAAAGCACTTACGACCAAAGCTGATAACCTGAATTCTATCCACAAACTCATAGGATGGTAAGAGAGGACTGACTGCCACAGTTGCCTACGCGGGCCCATGTGCATGTTCATGCCCTCCCACACCAGCCACGATAAAATAAATAAATAGGAAAATAATACTTTTGTTTGTTTGTTCCTTTGGTTGGTTGATTGGTTGGTTGGTTGGTTGGTTGGTTGGTTGGTTGGTTTTCAAGACAGGGTTTCACTGTGTATCTGTCTTGCAACTCACTTTGTAGACCAATGCAGTCTCAAACTCACAGAGATCCAGCTGCCTCTGCCTCCCAAGTGCTGGGATTAAAAACTTGCATCACCACCACCTGGCTATAAAGTTGTTTTAATAAATAGTCTAGTCCTTTTCAATTGAGCTGCACCTTTCCCAGGACGCCTTCCTTAACTAATCAATTTAAATATGTTCCTGTCTCCTTGACATGGAAGAAACTCAAAGTAATAGAACTGATGTTATAAAGGATTTACCAATAGATTTGCTTAGGTGGCACTAAGCAGCAGAAAGTAGAATTTAGCTAAGAGAGCGCTGCCCCCAAATTACCCCAAAGATAAGCAGTCTGCTAACCAAACCTGTTAGAGATAAGCAAAATTTACTATGCTATGATGTAAATGTTTGTTCACGGATGGCCCAGCCCTCAGGCACATCACCAAAGTACATGCTTCTAACAGGCAGCTTGAGGGGACAGAGCAAGTCCTGTAAGTGTAAGTCCTGACGGGCTATAAACCCATAAAGCCCCCACTTGTCTTCTAGAAAAAGAATGATTCTTCCAGGTGGGCAAGACGACATTGGCTAACAACTATTGGGTAAGAACAAGGTTGGTGTATGTACTTAAGAAATACTTGTGGCAATATCTTCGCTGTCTAAATCTCCATCTGCCCAAGTGGCCAGACTCACAGGCTCCTGTCTCTGTTTAAATTGTCCAAAGTGTGACCTGAAGCCAGGACCTAAAAGAGACTTACAGAATACAGTGTATGTGCAATGCATCAGCCTAAGGTGTATATAAGCTAGTGACATCATCTGTTCACTTGGGCGTGAGCCCTGGTCACCCACGCTTTAGTAGAGAGCATCTCTTTTGTCTCTTAAGTGTGTGGAGTGATTCCTCACAGGGAAGATGTGCTATGTCTATAACATCCTTATTCCTGGAAACTGAACCAGGATAGGCCCTGGGAGAAAACCCACTATTATTATCCTGCTGAGATACCATAGCGATAAAATAATTCATAGCGACTGACCACTGGACCCATAGAGCAGTACATTGCTTGACTCTCATCAGAAAAGCTTCTTGCAGTAGATGGATAAACAATATAGAAACCCACAATGGTCACTACAGTAGTGACTCTAAATGGAATATCTATACCACAGCCCTTCCCTCGGGGCTCAGGGATCTGTCAATGTAAGAGAGTCAGAGGTAGTGAGTGAGGATAAGGAAACTGTTCCCAGATGTAGCTGACCAAGGCACAGATGAAGGCACAGACTGTGAGAACAGGCCCAGGACCTCCACAAGCTCAAGCCAGACAGAATCCCAGTGTGGGGGAAGAGGTGGCCGTGAAGTCCCACCATGAGTGAGGAGCTATGAGGAATGATTGGCCTTTGAGAGCTGCTGGTTCTGAGAGAGGGAAGACAGTTTTCTTCAGCAGATACACCTGGTATATTGACCACGCTCCAGGGAAGGCCCGGTGACCAGAAGTAGTACGCCAACACAAACTGGGGTCCATGGTTTTTCGTAAGAGAGAGATCTACAAAAAGAGAGAACGATATAGATTAAAAATAATATCTGCTAATGTAAATTTTGTTTTGAGCCCCACCTCCACCCCCACCCCAGAATAAGGTCTCACACCATAGCCCAGGCTAGCCTCAATGGGTGCTTTGATTACAGGTGTGACACACATGCCCAGCTGGTTTTTGCATTTTTTTTTTTTTTTTAGTGTGTGTGGGTGGGTGCTTGTGTGTCACTGTGCGCATGTGGAGGTCATGAGACAACCTTCCAAATGGATTCCTTCCTTCCATGGCGGGAATCAGATCTAATTGAAATCATCAGGCTTTCACAAGGCACCTTCACCCTCTGAGCCTTCTTGATCTCTCCAACTTTGTGTTTTTATTTATTCTGTTGTATGTGTTTGAGTGTTTTGCCTCCTCACATGACTGCACTGTGTACATGTCTGGATCAAGCAGAGGCCAGAAGAGGGCATCAGATCCCCTGGAACCTGGTCACATGGCTGTGACCATGTGGGTGCTGGGAATGGAACCCAGATGCACTGGAAGAGCAGTCAGGGCTCTTAACCACTGAGTCATCTCCCCGTTAAGTCTTTTTTTTTTTTTTTTTTTTTTTTTTTTTTTTGGTTTTTCGAGACAGGGTTTCTCTGTCTCGTCCTGGCACTTGCTCTGGAGACCAGGCTGGCCTCGAACTCACAGAGATCTGCCTGCCTCTGCCTCCCGAGTGCTGGGATTAAAGGTGTGCACCACCAACGCCCAACCTCCCCATGAAGTCTTACAGAAAACAAAATGATTTTCTGATCATTATGAAATATGATTTGTATTTTTTTGTTTTGGTTTGGTTTTTGCTTTTTAAGACAGGGTTTCTCTGTGTAACCCTGGCTGTCCTGAAACTCACTGTGTAGACCAAACTGACCTGGAACTCAGAGACACACCTGCCTCTGTCTCCCAAGTAGGTGCTGGGATTAAAGGCAGGTGCCACCACCACCCAGCTGTGATTTGTATTTGTACAAATTGTACAAAAACCTTATGGTATGGTGCACGCCATACAGAGCGAGTTACAGGATAGCCTCCAAAGCAATTCAGAGAAACCCTGTCTCAGAAAACAAAACAAAACAAAAAAACCTTGTAGTCCAGCATGGTGGCACACACCTTTAGTCCAATAACTCAAGAGGCAAAGGGAGTCAGATCTCTGAATTCAAGGCCAGCCTGATCTACAGAGTGAGTTCCAGGACAGCCGGGACTACAAAGAGAAACCCTGTCTCAAAAAAAAAAAAAAAAAAATCAATAAATATAATGAGAAAACTGGGAGAAATACTATGAAAGTCATAGGTGATAAAAAAAAAAACTTAGCTAACACATATAAAGAGCTTCTAAAGTACAACGATCAGCTCATCAATAGGGGCTAGAGAGTGGCTCAGTGGTTAAGAGCACTGGTCATTCTTCCAGAGGACCCAAGTTCAATTCCCAGCATCTAATTTTAGTTTCGGGACATCCAACATCCTCTTCTGACTTGCATAGGTACCAGGCACACACATTGCACACGCTTTTAATTCCAGCACTGGAGAGGCAGAGCAGGCAGATCTCTGAGTTTGAGGCCAGCCTGTAGGAGATACAGGCTTGCATGCTC